GGTCGTCGACTGGGTAGGTGTCTCTCCCGCGGGCTACCTCCTCTCCTACTCCCGTCCTTCCCATCTCCTCACTGCCCACAGCCTCAACGGCCGTCTGTTGGCCCGGCTGGCCTGCCGTACCGGGTTGAGTGCCTTTTGTTTCTCCCACGACGGGCAGGTCCTGATCGTGGGCTCCGAGACCCGACGACTGCACATGCTCTGGTGTCACTCCCTACGTCCCGCCCGAGGGGGAGGGAGGGAGGGCTTGGAGGGACTGGTCGCCACAAACGGGGCCGGTCCGGGCCTGCGGGTGCCTTCCTTTCCCGCCTCCATCACCGCCTTGGCCTTGACGACGGAGGAGAAGCACCTGTTGGTAGGTCTAGGGAACGGGCAGTTGTATACATTGACGCCAGAGGCGGGGTATTTGCGGGCGCGGTTGAAGAAGAAATTGGAAACGATGGGATTCTACTGAAGGAGGGAGGGAGGGAGGGAGGGAAGCACGGAGGGGGGACGTGTCAACAAGTAATGAAAGAGGGAAAAAAAGAAGAGGGAATGAGGGCAGGAGGAAGGGAAGGAAGAAGGGAGGGAAGGAAGGCGAGGTCGAGGATGTGGATAATGATGCGGGCGAAGGCCAGGGGCCCCATGCTGTAAATGATTTGTGAAATTATTTAAGGGACGAAGGTGGTATACACGGTGCTGCTGCACGTTCCCTTCAAAGCATACTTCAGCTTGAAACAAGAAAAGGAAGAAAGCTGTCCCAGGCATCACAAAACGCCCCCCTCAAAGGCGCATCTGCACACGTCGTTTCATTCCTATTGTTTCCTACCGCTTATCCTTTGTATCTCTTCTCATAGCGGACGACCCAGCTTCCGTAAAAACGCGGCTTATCCCTGGCTCACCATTTCCAGGGCCTGTCTCCCATCGCGGCATATCATACACTCCGTCGTTCCCCTCCCCTCCCATCCCCGATGCCACTACCTTCTTCTCTCTCCCACACCCTAAGAGTGTCTTCCTTAGGCGTCCACTTTCTGGCTCGTCATGCCATTTTTCCGATTCCAGGACCCCTTCGATTTCTTCTCCCCCCACCTCGACTACTTCGCCAATGCCGGCGACAGTCGCCTCATGACCACAGCGTGAGTCATGGCCCCCCTCCATGTATTTTCTCCTCTATATCCACCCATTCTTTCCTACCTTCTCCATGTCTCTTCTCCTTCCCTCCACGAATTCCCTTCTGCTATGCGCCTAGGCCTACTTCCAGTCTCGCATCCTTCCCTTCTGCTAGGCGCCTAGGCCTACTTCCAGTCTCGCATCAAGGAGGTGCGCTTGCGCGGGTCCACGCGGTTGTCCGGGCTGTGGAGGAACTTGTATCTGATAGGAGGGAGGCAAGGAGGGCGGGGAAAAAGGGAGGGGGAGGGTCATGACTTGGTTCCATGATTACCTGGGCCTGCTGACTCTCTTTGGTTACTCACGCAGTGAAGCCACTGCACATGGTGACGGCGAAGGTAATGATGACAATGATGGGGTATGTTGCTCCATCCATCAGCCAAGTCTGGGCGAGGGAAAGGGGAATACACGGAAGAGAGGAAGAGAAGCACAGAGGGTGAGAGCACGGTAGGGAGTGATGCGCTCTCTGCAAGTTTCGGATTGGACACGAAACAAGGAATCGGGTGGCGGACAGAAAACAAGACTTTACTCGGCAAGGGCGCCAAATGAGCCCTCGTCTTGGCTTTACTTTCCTTCGACATCCGTAGGGATAGACAGAGGGATCAGTGCTCTCTCCTCTCTACTGAATCTTCTATCCCTTCCGTCTTGGAAATTCAACAAATGCGTGTTCGATTTACGCAGATCCGCATCCTCACCTGCTTGAAATTCTTTCGCGAGCTGTACTGGACTGGAGACCGTGTGCTGCTTTGTTGTCGCACTACGCTGCCCATGCTGGGGTGGAAAACACGAAATCGAAAGGGGGGCAAGGGTGAGATGTGCCTGCACCACATGGAGGTATTGGGACATATTGTTCCTATTCGTTCAACGCACCGTGCTGCAGGTCCCGTCAGAGAGAGGGTGCCAGCGGGCAAAAAAGCAGGGCGAATGGCCGATGTGAAGATGCGGCTATGCATGCTCAATCTGCATTGCGATAATAAAAGCGGGTGCGGTGAGAAAAAGCATGTGGGTATGAGAAGGACGATGAAGGCGAACGAGCGAGTGTAGAGGGGAAAAAGCATCGATCGGAAACAAAAATCCAAAAGAATCTATGGCCAAGGCGCAGCTTTGATGAGCTCCATGGAAAGAATGAACGTATGTACATGCATTTTGAGCACACGATTTTGACGGATTCACACGGCATTGTATAATGACCATCGTGGGGGAATCCAACCATATGGCAACCCCCCGGCTTCAACTTGCCCTCCTTGTATTTAAACCCAGCGTGCACCGCAATTTCTTTCGTTCACACCAAATACACAGTATTTCATGGATAGATCGGTCAATTTATGTCGTTTTCAGCGCCGTTACGGATGTAGCCCTGTATTTTGGGCAAGCTATTGGTGTCCTTGAAGTCTCCTCCGCTGCCATATGTCTCTCGCTGCTTTTCCGACTTTCCCGCCCATGAAGACTGGCTATGCATCCACTCTTTTTCTTTCCAGGCAATCTAGAAAGCATCTGTATTTTCTTTCGACGCAATCTAGAAAGAAA